AAGCCGATAAAGAGAAATAGTACTTGTAAAAGTATACTTCCATTAACCCATTCGCTTCAGCTGTCCAGTCCGCCGAAGTACTGTCATTGAACGGAAGCGCGTGCCGTGAATACGTGAAGTACACGTTGTTGCTGTACGAGTCGTTCGGAAAGTCGTTTCGTTTTTTCCCGACAGAGGATTTAATTGTATTTTTTTCCACCTAACTGCACACTTAAGCCGCATAATCATTATATGTTTTGAGAGCTGATGTAGCAAGGCTTGTGTGTGAAAAAGTCCAATTGATCCTACGCAGTAGTTTTTGGTTGGTGCCCTTTTATATGTGGAGAGCAATAAGCAGCATTTTCGTCATATTTTACATTTTCACTATAAGAAAGATACTATTTAAGCCAGAAAGAAATTAACCGATGTGTATGGAGAAGATGTGTTGACAGTACGCCAATGCCAGAGCTGGTTTGCAAAATTTCGATCCGGTAATTTTTATGTCTAAGATGCACCACGTTCTGAACGACCGGTTGAAGCTGATAAAGACACAATAAAGGCATTAGTTGATGCAAACCGGCGAATAACAACAGGTGAGATCGGTGAGAGATTAAATTTATCAAATTCAACTGTTTATAACCACTTGAAAGGCCTGGGTTTAACCCTGAAGCTCGATATATGGGTTCCCCATGTTCTCATGAAGAGAAATTTGTGTCGTCGCGTTGACGTCTGTGATTCGCTTCTCAAACGTCATAAAAATGATCCATTTTTGAAGCGCATCATTAGTGGGGACGAAAAATGGGTTATATATAACAATGTCAAACGCAAGAGATCATGAAGCAAAAAAGATGAACCGGCTCAAAGCATTTCCAAAGTCAATATCCATCAAAAAAAGGTGATGCTGCCTGTTTGACGGGATTTTAAAGGAATCATTCTTTTTGAGATTTTACCGGATAACACAACAATTAATTCGAAAGTCTACTGTCATCAGCTGGACAAACTGAATGATGCACTTCAACAAAAAAGGCCAGAATTAATCAACAGAAAAGGTGTAGTGTTCCACCAAGATAATGCGAGACCTCATACAAGTTTGGTCTCTCGCCAAAAGCTTTTACAGCTTGAATTTTACAGCTACAATGCCACATCCATCATATTCTCCAGATCCGGATTATTATTTGTTCCGGTCACTGCAAAATTTTTTAGACGGTAAAACCTTCACTTCAAATGAGGAGGTCAAAAACCACCTCGATCAGTTTTTTGCCAGCAAAGACCAAAAATTTTATGAGCGTGGAATCATGCTACTATCAGAAAGATGGCAAAAGGTATTGGACCAGAATGGCCAATATATAATTTAATAAAATATTTGTTCATTATGCGAAAATTGTCTTTCATTTTCACAAAAAAAAAAAGAAACGAAATGACTATCCAAACAACTCAATACTTCTTTTTTATCACTTCATCGCTAACAAATTGTTTGATGAACGAAAGCATGCCTCTTCTTTTTTCAGATGTTTCCCAAACTTCGGCATTCCTTGCCATCTTTTACTAACAGTCCCGCACGCATTTGTACTATTATTATGCAACAAATTAAATAATCCTGGAATATAAGCGGCGTTCGTATCCACAAATCATATCGTGCACGCCGCTTATAAGACAGGAACCGTTTGTACATTGGACGAGGAAGCCTGCCTCGACTCAGACGAAAGTGAGACATACTGATCAAATATACCTACCGACAGTTGTGGCTTTAATGAATACGATGTTTTTTACGAACGGCCGGCAACGAAACTGACACCCGCCGAATCGGTGCAAAGACCCATATTATATACGGTAACGACGAAAGATGTCACACATTCGCATTAACGAGAACGAGCGAGTTCATTCTATGTAGATATTCTATAATAAAGACAGAACACCCCAAGCTATTCATAATCGAAATATCACCTGGAAGAACTTTCAAAGAAAAAGCGAAGACCCCCGTAGAGAACCTAGGCATTTTCGCTTACGTAAACTCGAAGTTCATCTATGTAGAAAGGCATCTCAAAACACAGATAAATTCACTGAATATCGATATCACTCGACAAAAATGTATACTGGAGCAACAAGTTCTCAAAAACGCTCTCTCTCTAGCAACGTTAGCTCCCGACGAAATGGCTCATGTCCTAATGAAACAATCGGGATATATGGCTGTCATCGCATCGGCAGTTATATACATCATAAAATGTGTTCCAGTAGAAGTTAGAGTAAGACAAACAGAAGATTGCTACAAAGAATTACCAATTATCGAAACGATTCTTATTTTCTCTCGACGAAGACACGCATCATTTTGAAGGAAGAATCTCCGAAAGACTGCAACGAGCTGCTACCTAACATGTATAACCTACATGGGACATGGTACAGAGTAACACCAAAATGAGTAGAATCGATACCTCCGCCAGTAATTCAATCACTAACAAAGCCAAAATGGAGATATATCGATCCGGAACACCTGGGAACAAGCGGAATTTATTCTAACGAAGACCTAAACAAACTGAGGTCTCATAATGAAAACAGACGAAAAACCTGCTATCATCGATACGCTCGCCAGAGGAATCAGCGGAAGGTACATACCCTCCGGAAAAATTTCGTTATACAATCTAATGGACGTGGAGTCACTAAATAAAATTGCATCAAGTACGGCACAACGACTATGGAGCGCGTTTATAACATTCGGATCGGCAAGTGCCAGAGTTTTAGCCATCTTCATGGCCATACGCCTGGTGAAATTTATCATCGATACACTCATCCACGGTTAACGCTCTGCATGACATCTATGGATGGAGCTTACATCTCTTGGGAGCGCTATGGAGCTCGGTGACACATTTCCTCCACCTAGGAAAAAGGGAAAAGAAGGAAGAAACACCAAGTACGGCACCTGCGGCTACCGCCCTCGACGAAGAAAGAGGAGAGTACGCTGCTGATGAAAAACCAAGTACTTTCTACGAATTAAATACGTATTTGGGTAAAGAAATAAGTTAAAATGCACGTATATCTATGCACATTTTCCAATAAGGGGGGAAGTGTTACATCCCGCTCCCTTCTCACACTTAAAGTATTAATACCTGTAAATAAAACTTTTCTTATATTATTAAGTATAGGAGTAAATGGGGACACCTTACGTACCACAGAAATTTTTTCAAACTCTTTTATTATTCAAAAGACGTATAAGTAAGATCCTTACATATATAAATAACTAACACAATTATATGACACATTCGAGCCCGATGTAAAGGGAGTCTCTATTATCACAAACTAACACTATTATAGAACACACACTAGTAAATAGGTAACAAACATATAAGCGATAAATTCAAGAGACGAAAGGAATCTAAGGAAGTTATGGAAAGCGATGCCAAACTCCGGAAAAGTTTAACACGTTCACGCTGGGGCCAATTTTCGTTCGTTTTCCTATGAGGCGGCGCTCGAATTAATATCACGTTTCATCTGGCGGCGCGTGATTATTGCCTGTTCACCCTGGGATTGCAAGGATCAGCCGAAACTTTGCTTGAAATGTTTTAACAAATTACACAAAAAACAATAAATAATGAAGTTATAAATAAAACAGTATCAGATTTTATGTTATTTTTACCGTATTTGTGTTTTTTTTATAATACTGTATTATTATGTTTATGATATTGAACAAAACTTATGTTTCTGATACATTATTAATTATAATTATTATTAAAAATAAATGTTTTTAATGAATAGACGTTAAATTTTCATTATTTTAATTTTCAGTATATAATAGTCTAATACTTCAGAACACAATGGAATGCGTTCCGCCGGTGGCCCGCGCCGCCCAATAAGATAGTTTAGTGCGGGCCACCGGTGTCCGCACCGGAGTGAACGTGTTAAGGGATGCAGGAATTCAAAGAATTGTGAAGAAGTGAAATTATCGCTCGACGTGCGTGTTTTCCGGGTGGAAATCTTTAAAATTTCCATCCTCACCACGGGGCCACGGCAGCGGCAGATTCATCCCCACTACGCACGGCGGCTCATCCCCACTGCAGCGCTGCTTCGAGCCGCCTACCGCAGACCGACGGAGGATGTAAGTAGCTGCTTCGCTCGGCTTCTCGGTTGTATTTTTCAATCGCTCAACTATTAAACTTCGATCATACTAACGCACTATTAGTCGTTATACTACGTGGTTATACTACGCTACGTCTTATTCTTGTACGGATTTCGATTTTATACTTTAAAAATTCGATTATTACTATACGATTGTTACTTGACAAATATTAATAAATTAGTTTTGTTAAGTTTAAACTCAGTGTTCGTTCATATAACCCCGGCTGTGCTTCCCAGGCAACTTCACGTAATTCTAATTTAAACTTATTAACTTCTCTCGCGAGTCTCAAGATCTTCCTACTACAAGTCAGTCGACAAGTTCGAAGGTAAAAGGCTTCTATTATTCACGTGAAAACCTTCACCTTAGATAACCTTCAAGGATAACCTAGTTATCCTTTATTAGAGGTGCGTACGAATCGCACGACCGCGCGTATAGGTGTCCATCCCGTGCCACGAACTGCGCATAGCGGGTAATGGCCAAAAAGGACACGAATTTCACGAAGGTCAGAGCTCCTCAAGGTAAGTTTTGAACTTAAAAAAATTTTTTGGAGCCCGTACCGAATGGGACGTGACACCGCCACACTTGCCGCTGACGGCAGCATATAGACGTGACGCTTCAGCGTCATTTATTTTCAGAGCTAGTCACTTCGGCATGTGAGTTGTTACATACTCCTTTGCGGATTCCAACTTTCATGGTAAACGTCTTGCTGTCTTTATCAACCAACGCCTTTTATGATATTTTATAAGCGGCGACTTAACCTATACCAGGGAGATAGGGTTTGGAAAGCGAAGAGAATCGCAGTTTCGGCGGAGTCTGGATCTTCCCTTCAGACTTTAAAAATCCACGAGAGGACCACGTGGAGTATCGGAAACGCAAGATGAAAATGCTACAAAATTTTAAGTAGGCTTCATCAGCAAACATTCAAACAATACTTTTAAAACAATTACATGAAATGTTTTCTCATTACAGAAACCATTATTGAGAGTCTTAATAAAATTTTGGTCAACTGATGAAGAAACTGTTCAAGTTGTTTCATTTTTATATACATTACGTATTGCAACCATTCATAAGATATCTTTGCTTGAAATATTATTAAAGGTAAAGTTATATTTTTCTGTTTATGTCAGAATATTCGTCACAATCATATAAATGACTAAATTCTAATTATGTCTTCTAGTCGATTTTCTACGTCAAGTACGTAGAAAATTCCAAATATGTATCGCCGAATACTTCGCCAGAAATAAATTTTATGAGGCATTCTTTAACAGAGATTTATTTTGACTTTGCATACAGTCATGCCTTTTTATATATCAGACAGCTTGCTATTCATTTAAGGAATGCAGTAACTTTGAAGAAAAAGGTAATATCAATTATTATCAACTATTTAAGCTTATAAGATTATTTTATTATAGAAGAAAATTTTCAAGCAGTATATAATTGAAGGCATGTAAATTTATTATTCTTCTGATCCAAGTCAACAACACTCTAAAAAAAACAATTAATTTTACACTCTTTGTTATACCCTTTAGTACAGGTATGTTGGCGATCATATTAATTGCATATCAATTATTTAGTTAAGTAGATGGTAATTATTAATTGCGTATTACCAGATTATTATTGGAAGAATTAAAGTAATACCGAGTCAACAAATTATGTTTCCACTATTTGCAATCGTTATTTAACATTTTTAAGGAAACAAATACTTTCACATTTATTTTACCATTTCTATTTGGGGTATAGTAGTTAATTAATACGTATAAAAAAGTATCTACGTTTTTAAAAAAGCATAAAGCTGTACCAATGAAACCAATATCTTTAATTTGTATATTAAAAATATTTAAATATAGTATAATTGATGGTCTCTACCGATTAATATTAGAAATAGTAGCAAAGGATGGCCATTTAATGTTTCCCCGATTTTTATGTTCCTTGTATAATATAAATAAGTATAGCATGTTATTCTATTATTTCCTATAGATGATAATATGTTGTCCTATTTATAAATATATATTTTACAGTTGAAAGTATTTTTCAAAAACTCGAAAAAATGTCATAAATTATTCTAAGAAAGTAAAGTAATCAATGGAAAAAAAAAAAAAATACAAGAAAATTCAAAACATATAGAATGTGAAAGAGCTAAGGGTATATTCTATTTGAAGAATATGACAGAAATCGAAAATTGAGTTAAATAGAATGAGAATTCTGGGTACAGCTTCAGGGAAATTTTATAATTCCTGGATTAAAATTCATCAAGCTCAGAAACTTAAACATGTAACGGAAAATGATGAAATTAGTGAATAAAATTTAGCAAGTTTAAGGGAACCAAAAAGGAAGAAGTTAAATAAAAAAGATATAGTGACTTTGAGTTACAAGTAAAAGGAATAGAATAAGAGATAGCAGAGGATATATTTCTAAAGAGATCTAATAAAAATCAAAAATAAAAGTGATAAATCAGAAAGTATCTGAAATAGACGACGTACAGAAAATACAGATATTGTTACGAATATTAATAACGATGACTGGTAACAAAATGTTGCAATATGTAGAATAAGTGTAATAACAATTGTGATAACAATTTCAATAACTTTATCATTATAAAGAAAACAAAAATCTAACTTGAAATAATATGAAATAATATACTAATAATAAATGATATACTAATACTATATTAATGAAATAATAAATAATATACTACTACTAATATACTAAATGAAATAGTATACTTGATACAAATATCAAATATTTTGAATGTAGATCATTTGTTGATTTCTTCATTGGCATTTCAAACTATGTTTAAGCATTTACAAAATATACATATACAACAAAACACGTATTTTATTTAGTTACTCCAGAACACTATACTTTCAAAGGAATATCATTGTCTTCTTTAATTTCCTTTCATTCCCTTTAATCCATACTTTATCAATATCTCCTTAATTCTCACAAATAGGATTTATTTTCATAGCTATGATGAATTCTTTCACCGAATCAAGGATAACTGGCCCAAAATGTAAACTTTCTTAGAGAGTCGTTTGGGCCAAGTCTGCGAATAAAGTCAAACGTATAAAGTCAGAAAGAGGAAGAAAGAGAGAAAGAGATAGAGAAACTTGACGTGACGACTTACCGTGATCGCTACGGTGTAGCCAATAACAACAAAAGTCTACTCCTAAAGTATCAAGTCCAAATGAAATTCCCGGATAAATGCCATCGATGATAGTTTTCATAAATCTTAAATGAAAATATAATATTCTGACCTACGAAAGATAATGTTGAAAAATCGAAATAACAAAGATCCATATAAATGCCATGTTAATATTTAACAAGGTTATTAAATGACGATTAAACGAAAAAAGTGTGATGTTTCCTTTCTCATATAAACAATCTTAATACAAAAAAGCGGAAGAAAAAACGAAAGAATTACCATTGCTTTCCGAGCAGAACCTTGAAATATCTTTATCAGTATCCTTTTTTAATATGATTCATACGATATAAGTAGATTAATGTCTTTAGAGTAATCGATGTTATTCAGTTAATTTGTCTAGCAAGAATTAGAAAAGGTATAATCGATCAATTTAAAACCCGATCATCTTCGCTTTGTAAATTACAAAAGAGCAGCAAATTACACATAAAGGACAAAAAAAGGAAAAAGAAAAAGAAAAAAATAACTAAAACGTGAAATAAATACATTTCGTAGATGTTTCCTCGAATTGAACATTAGAATAATCATAGATAGAAGAATTATTATTTTCTCTCACTCCCTTGCGTAATGTTTTAAGCTCTTCCCTCCAATACGTGATGTATCATTGCCATTTTTTTATTTAAGTTTTGCTATCTACGTACCATAAAATTGTTATTGCTCAAATGATAAGCGTAAATGTCTATATTGTACACTCAATCTTCGTTTTAAAATCATTATTAAAGTTTTGCTGCACCTGGATTCCTGCTGTCCTTGCGCGTGTTATAATTGCATATCTACATAGACATGCGTATTTTTTAATATCAGACATTTTACTAGATAATTAGAGTCGCTTATTAGAATATAGAAGTATAAAGAAAAAGAAAGAAAAATTTTAAAGCGGCATTCCTGACGCCGGTTATCGCAATGAACAATCTCTGAAAGGAATAAAAGCACTTTCATGTAGTGATGACTTTGAATTTGCTAACTCAGCCAATTTTATCCTCTTACATTTCCTTTCTCGACATGTTCACTAGTAAATAACTTCGATTAAATGATTATATAATTTTTTTCCTTACTACATATATTTATATACTTATAATAAATTTATATTTATTCTATTTCTTGTGTACAATGAAAAATTATACGCGAAAAATTTAATAATGATCCGACAAAAGTCATAAACGGTGTATACATTAATTTGTTGTTAGTACTAATATTAACAATTGTTAAATACATTAATAATTTCTTAAATTCGCATGTATCGTTTTATATCATATATCTATTTGGTTAAGTAATTTTTATAAAGTTAAAAATACCGTAAGATGTTATAAAAGGAAGCTACATTGTCGAGCATTGACTAAATCGCTATTAGTATTATTTCGAATGAATTGCTTGGATATGTGCAAATTTTTGTGAATTAAAAGGAATATTGCTGATAAGATTATTAATCGTGTGGACAATAGCCATCCCGACGTTTAATGCGGTAATGATCTTAGGCAATGAGTAGAGCATTCATTCAAGCTAAAAATACGATTGCATCCTAGGAATTTATTTTTCCCTTTTCAAAATAATCGAAAAGCAAAATAAACAGTAACAAATTCAAATGTTTTATAAGGTAATTAAAATAATACAATTTAATTAAATTATTATAATATTATAAAATTTCAAGTTAGTCTTAATAATAGTATCTAGAATTTTGTAATGAACATCGTATAATTAACATATTCTTGTAATAGTTAATAACATTAATAAGAAAAATATCTTAAATATATGTATTTAGGATATAATATTTTATAATTATTAAATTATAATATACATATAATTAATTTGCCTGGGTGATATGTGTATAATATCTGGATAAAACTTAAATGATAAAGAAATTTTCGACCTATATATGAGTATTTAAGTTAATTTTACAATAATCTTTCCTATCGTTTCTTTAATATAATGTTACTTCCGTTATATCAGCGATCTTTGCAGTTTGTTGGATGACGTTGCTATCCTACGACATTTACGACTGAACAACTTTCGTATTATGGATATTACAATTTATAACCATGAAACTTTAAAAGTATAGTAACACTCGAGCATACGAGTAGTAAGGATAGTTAATCGATAATTTTTTGTCGTCTTATTTGTCCCCTAAGGAAAAAGAACCAATCTTTTTACGATAATAAATTCAGGATTATTATTCAGGTTTTTTGTAGATAAACTAGCGACAGCCAAGTTAGTTACCGATATGAGAGCGTTACGATTTCTTTCGATGGTAGTGGCAACACTGCATGCTGGTAATTAATATAACTGATTCCCTCTTGAATGTCGTTAATTAATTAAAGTCAAATAATAAAGTTTTAGATACAAGGTACGCTTTTATTTATATAATTATTTTCTTTAATACATATATACGCACGGACATATACACATGTGTGTTGAAACGTGTGCATTCGCGTATGTTTAGAATCGTGGCTGTGAAATTATTATATGGTAATAGCATATAAAATATATTTTACCTTGAAAAAAAAATCTTTCCTATATAGTAGTAATATTAATAGTAAGCGTTACGTATTGCGATCTTTAAATAATTTTATAAAAATAAATAAACGTTACTCATTGTGATCTTTAAATAATTCTATAAAAGTAAATAATAGTGAGGCAACCACGATTGTACGCAAAAATGATCAAAGCGATAATAAAGTTAGGAAACTTTTAAGTATGTGTCAAAAATGTAGCATTTCGTTGGTAAGATGCGATGATATTGTCAACCAGATCGATTTTGAATTCTTCAATAGTTGCTGCGTCTTCTCCTAGAGTTTTACAACAGATTAATGATATATTTCGTAAATGTGAATTATTGGAACGGAATAGTGATAGTAAAGCGTTACCTTCCTTTTTCACGAAGTAATAATTCTAAAGATTTCATTAGGAATTCTAAATTTTACTCCTTCCTCTTCTTCCATAAACAAACGCCCCACCCATACAAAAGAAAGATCATGCACTATTTGACTGTAGATCACTTTGTCTACACACACACACACACACATACACGACTCTGATATAAAAGCTAACGGTATTTAAATTATTCTGTTGATACACGTAAATCGGTATTATAGATTGCTATATTAATTTCTTGTCGATAATTCATACTGCCTTTCCTAGGATATTGTAAATTTTTTAGCTCAATAGAATAATGGATAGCTATTAACATAATAAGCTAATGGATAAATTCTGAAATAGATACAGATAGAAAGAGTGTGAGAGAGACACATGAGATATGTAAAGCAGTGAAAGGTAAGAAGTAAATTGTTGTGAAAGTTATTATTCATTCAAGTCTTGTGAAAGTTATTATTCATTCAAGTCAAGTTTGTTTTGCGGAGTAATAATCAACCGATTATGTGAAAATAAACTTACAATAGCCATTTTTCTGTCAGTAGGTTGTTTTACGTGATAGATAATTTTTTTTATTAAATATTTCTTAAATAATTTTCATAATATTTTTTATTATAATGATGGTATTATTGCTTTTGTGTTTATTTTCATCTAAAAACAAATGAGCCATTATTCTGTTGTACTCTAAGAGTTCGTTATTCTGGCACATTATTTTCACTATGCAAGAATTAACATAATTGAAATCAAAGTGAGCTCTGCGTGTATTTTCTGTTTTGCTTATTTGTTTCTTTATAAAAAGAAATATCACGGAGTTCATTGTTCGCGTGACTGCCGTAGTAGCTGTGAAATAGACGTGTTGGAGGACCATTGCAGAATTTTTCTAAGCGATGGATGAATTTTTCAATTTCTTCGATCTTTCAATCGTGCCAATGGCGATTATGTTCGAAAGTCTGTCCCTACTATACCGAACTTGTAATCACCAGGACCATCCTTTCAATCATGTGCGCGTCCGCTATTCTCATACGTCGATATTAAAGATTGCTATATTGAATTCTTGTCGGTAATTCATACATCTCTTACTATGATATTCTACATTTTTTGGCTCAATAGATTAATGGATAGCTGTTAACATAATAAGCTAATGGATAAATTCTGAAATTGTAATAGTGACACTGCTGGGAATAGCTGTTACTTCTATTTCTATAGTTAATCCTATTCATGCAGAAAGTTAATGTTACGAACAATTGAATTTTCAATTAATTTAAGCTAATTTTATCAGCTTTAACAAATAAAAGGTCTAAAGTTTCATCATGTATGATGACATATAACCGATAGACGTTTTGTTGATAAATGCGTGTTATCGTTAATAATGCGTTGCGACGTTCGCTCATACAATAGTTGAAACAATTTAACATCCATTCGATTAACAGTGCCGATGTTATATAATATCGTGGGAAGAAAAATTTTTGAGAACTATTCGAATATTTCGGATGTAATATTTTTGCTTTAATTCGATAAAATCGCAGGGAGTGCGCCGGATATGAACATTACATTGTTTCCGATATCAGACATTATAGTAATATTAACTTTACAGCATAAATTAAGGATTTACTGAATATATATATATATATATATATACATATATATTTCACTTGTGTGTGTGTGTGTGTGTGTGTGTGTGTGTGTGTAATATATGTACACATATATATATGTATATCAATTGAATATATATAATATATCCAGTTCCATTTATAAGAGAAAAATCTTGTCGAAGTGTGTGGGCGAATTTATAATATTCATTCATATTTTATCTTTCTTTCACAATTTGTTTTTTGAACGATCAAAAGAACGCTTTATAAAATTTTGAATATCGCTAATATAAATAAATATAAGTCATTCATCTAGCGTAATTGATATAATTGATCCTAAAGACTACAATCCTAAAAATTTTTTGATGGTAGACTATAAAACTATCAAAAATTTTCTACCCTTTGGATCTTCTGATGTGAGCTTTATGTAGAATTTAGCTTACTTAAAATTCGTATTTAATTATATTACCTACTTGTTAATTGCAATGTAAAAGTGAATTTTCAGTAATTTTCTTTTTTTTGATTGTTATTACAATAACCATTACGTTTAAAAATCAATCAGTTGACAAGTGATTTTACCAGAATGTGTTCTTGTTATTACTATGTTGTTGCTGATTAATATCCTTTTTCATGATACCGTTCTGCGTTCCATCATCATTTCGTCAGAGCGGTGATCGAATATTAGATAAAATATATGTAATGGTTTCATCTTTTCGATTATCTGAAATGTGTGATTTGGTGCTTATTTTATTCAGTGTTTCTATTTGTCGCAATTCCGAGCTCGACTTTTAATATAAAACGTTACTTCTTACTTCTTCATTGATGTGTAAATCTTAGAATACTCTGTTGCAGTTTGTAAGCTGTCGTATCATTTATTGCTACTAAATTTGACTTTCACAAGAAGCTCGCTTCTGTGTGACATCCTTGTTGCTTGTTCCTTATTGTTGAAGGTTCTTTTCTTCGATGGTCTAAATTCAGATTACTTGGTCTGAATTCTTTATTCCATTTCCATATTTGGTTTTCTTCAAGCGGCTCCTTTTCAACGTCTTGTCAAAATGACCGTGAAATTCACAGTATTCTTCTACCTCATTTTCAAAGTATATTTATGCATCAAAGGACTACATTATGCTCATGTAATTTTTGCATATTAATTTTTACTTGTGCAATTCTTTTTCGACAATTTGAGAATGATCTTCTAAATATTTAAAATTTTCTATTTTTTCTGGAATACAAAATGAGAAACTACCTCTGATGAAAAATCTCTTGTGAATGATCCTTTAACTTATTGTTCTTTCTCCATGATTTTGCTGTTAAGATTATTCCTCTAAAATGTTATATTTCCAGGTAGTTTACTTAATCTATTTTATTTTTTGACATCTACATGTTATTTGTGACGAGCTTATACAATTACCGATCCTTTATCGTTTTGGATTTTCTCTTTTAATTCGTTTTCTAAATAATTCACGTCCTTGGCTGTAAATAATGCTTTCTTCAGTTCTTTTAAGAGTTTTCCTGATGTATTAATGTCTTTCCTGCCGCCATCATTGGCAATGGTAGCATATTTAAGTACTATAAGATAAAATTCACATATGATTATTAAAAATTTATATAACATTTTGTAAGTAAGAATAATAAAATACTAGAGAGAGAATCTTTGAACTATTTGAGTTGGCATAAAAAATGCCGTAAGATGGCCGAATGTCAATTAATTGCCCAATAGACATGAAATGACCAACAAAGTACAATGTACAAAGCAAAATATCATTTCAAAGTAAATTTGTAGCTGACAGAAAAAACCTGTACCATGTACTAAATTTTCAGATGCATATGCAACTACTTTAAAAAATACTTCTGTTTCTCGAAGAGTGTACCACCTTGCACAATGATAGATTTGAATACATTTTGATTTCATTGCCACTTTTTTTATAATATAAGAAATTGCGTGAATATAAGCAAAAGTAAAAAATGTCTGCAACATTTAAATTCGGTTATGATTCAAGAGCATAAAGAAGAAACTATCCTCTATCTCTATTAGAAATATATAGTATGTACATACTTGTGCAATATATATGCATGCCAACATAAGTAATGGTCACAGAAGCATTCCCAAAATATTCCTTGTAGAAACATTTCCTTTACTTTATACTATTTTTGTCAATACATTTATGTATTATCGTGTCTTTTTGGGATCCATATGTTTAACATTCCTATGATCAGAGTACTCTACAAATAAATAATATAATGAATATAGTGACACAATATGTACTGATGGATCTATGCACAGGTGATAGAAACAATGGCAAAGGTCCTGTAAAATAGTGCCTTCAGGCAATTAACTAAGTTTATGTTACATAATATATTTAGGTAAATATCTGTCGGTCGATAAATAAATTTTATATCTATATTTATTCCTATGATCCAGTAAGAGTACTTTGTATACGTCTCAAGTAGCTTGAAGACTAAATCAACTTACAGCTATAAATACTTTTTATCAATGTTTTCATACTTACTGATAAAGAAATAAATAACTGTGGATATAAATATTCCAAAAAGTCTTTCCATTGTGATTACGGCCTATCACTATTTTTTGTTGCCTTATTACTTTGTTTAATTGCTTCACATTTAATTGCTTCTTTCATATTTACCTTCAATATATTAACTGGACCTGTTCATAATGTCCTTCAACCATCTTTGTAAATATTTGATAGAATCTTTTGCTTCTTGTATTCCTGTTTAATAGATAACCTTAACGTGGCGTTGAAATCTTTTTTAAATTCAACGACGACATTACCTTTTCCTTTGGATGGATTAATTAGTAACGATTTCCTGAAAAAAACGACCTACAGTTTTTATATTTATAATCTTTAATGATGATCAATATTATGATCAATATTACCTATAATATACAAAGAAAATGACTGGTAGAAAAAAAAATATATTGTAAGGTTAAATAACAAATTTTACTAAAGTTATTTATAGTAATTTAAAAAAGAACAATTACCTTGCAGTTAATAGAAAAATGGTGTGTTGTTTATATCGAATAATTCGCAACAAACGCATTATGAATAAAATATCATTTTATGATATATATGTAGATAGTATGGTTATGCAAATGATTTTCTATAAATTGGTATTGGCTTAACATTTTTGTTATACACAACGAAAGCATATCGCTTGAAAAAATTATGATCACACGCAATCTATTTTTTAAATAAGCATTAAATATAATGTTAAGCTAACTTAACCTTAAACGTTTAGTGACAACAGCGCCACTATTTCATCGTGTTTGCATTTATAGAATACATTGTTATAGAGCTTGGAGAGTGTAAAATAAGGGTTAGAAAAAATTTTCTAATTACCTATAATTAACGAGACAATGAAGCTCAGTTGCAACAAAGTAACACAAAGTTATACAAACTGATTAAATCACTGTTAGGAAGAAGACTAATTGGGTCGTCGCTCATTATATCATCTGTGCAATGGACCTCGCAAAGCTTGTAATTTTTTGATCTATTATATTAAAATATCGAAGCATTAAAAATATGATACAGAAATTTAAAAATTGTCTAAACGGATACCTTGTTATTCCAAACTAAATGAGAAAATTAATCAATTCAATTTGAAATCTGTAGAAATAAAGCTCCTAAACAAAGATACAATTTGTAAAGAAAATGTTAAAGCGTCCGCATAAAATTATTTTCCATACGAATATCTTCTATTCTCGAAGTTGTTACGACAAAAGTATTAATTTTGAACCTTTTACGTTTAGATATTTGTATATGTGTATATATATATTTTCTCTTTTTTGATAGTTGAACATTTCCCATCTAATTATTACCAAATTATGATACACATTACTATAATTGTAAATGATATATTATTCAATATTTATAAATAAAAATTCGACAAAGTATTATTCTTCCCTAAATACTTGTAGAAATGATGTGCATAAATAGTGAAATACGTAAATCGATAAATCATTCCAATTATTCGATTTATTAATTATTCATTATTTCGCGCGTAATATAGAAAGTATAAGGATATTCTGCATACGCATCTACTCATGTGTGAGTCTATTTTATATTTCTATATTTATATTAAAATTTAATTAAGAAAGAAAATTTTTGTTTATATTTAAAATCGGATTAATTACATTTGATACTTTCACATATTTTTATTATATATTTTTATTGTTTTTAACTAAATAAATATAATAATAATATTTTCATTGACTCGCGTTGTATCCGCAATAATGTGACGTAATCGAATTATAGGGGTCATATCTGTTCCTTATTAAAGGTTCCTTCGCCATCTTGGAAGTTATAACGAGTTTGCACGGAGTTTCGTCGCTTCGCATAATTACAGATAATTAGTAGATTTTTTTCTAACGTACATTCTCTTTCAATATATCAGTCGATAACGGAATGTGCGATTTTTTGTGCACTTTTTTGTCTTATATTTTCTAGCTTTATATTCATAATATTGATACTTTTTTCACTGTTACACTATCTAATTATTGATTTTGTGTTTATAATTGTAATCGATCGATGTTGTATTAAATTCAATATTCGTATATACTTATATATATATAAACATATATATATATACATATACATATATATATATACATTTATATATATATATATACATTTATATATATAAACATATATATTTACATATACAAATATATATATACATTTATATATATATAAATATATATATATATATATACATATACATATATATATACATATACATATATATATATACATATATATATATGTATATAATATATGAAGTAGAAGTAGTGTTTATTCGTAATCCGTTTGATTTATTTTTAAAATAATCTGATTAAATAAAATTAGATGCAATATAAATTCGCGATGTAAAGTCAGTGTTGGTACATATTTTTCATGATCCTGGGACAGGAAGGTCATCGTACAAAAGATCAACAAAGTCTGGTAAGTAAATTTCCTTTTAAACTTTTCTTTAATAATTTTAATAATTTTTTATTAACATTAAAAAATCTTTCATTAGAAAAAATTTTCATTAAAAAATCTTTCATTATTAAGAAGAACAAAGTTATTATACCAATAACTTTTTGCTTTAGTCATTTACGTAATAATCATTAGCCTTGACAATCGATTATAGCAATTGGTACGTACTCCTTATTAATTAAGAATCATACGTGCTTGAGTTAGGGTATCGCAAATGCCTCGGGGCATACTTCCTATTTGTTTTTGCACTCTGGTGGTATGAGAGACAGTCGTGAAGTGTGTGTATAGGAATGATCTTCTTGCAATTTTTTAAGTACAGATTATAGGTAGCCAAGTAATACAAATTTTTTATGTGGTCGAATATTTAACTTCAAGCAGGTTGGACCGAATGAATGTTGTGATTTCCACTCGAGTGCAAAGTTGCGTCTCCAGGTATTACGCGAAGTTTTAGCAAATTTTATAATTATTCCAGCATATCTACGTTTATCTTTTTCCCCTTATTTTATATACACATATATATATATATATATATATATATATATATATATATATATATATGTATATATATATATATATGAATCATATCAAAAATAGAGGGAATAATTTTTATGGATCTTAAGCGAGCATTTGAAACAGTCGATAGAAGAAGACTAATTGAAAAATTATATCAATATTGAATGAGAGGGAATGTTTTAGAACGGTTTAAATCATATCTAAATAATAGAATGTAGCAGGTTCGTTTCAACAATAAATGGTTTAAATTAATTAACACTGAATATGAAGTGTAGCAAGGGTTTGTTCTGGGACCCTTACTATTTATTGTATATATAAGTGATATAATTAAAGTATACTCCAAAGGATGTAATATATAAATGTTTGCGGATAATAATTAAATTATGTCGCTGAAGAAAGTAGAATGCAGTTAGAATGGGAAATGAAGTAGAATTTAATACAGTAGAAGAATGGATGAATATAAATAAATTGAAAATGAATGCATAGAAGGCGAAATATATAATAATTAGGAGTGTAAGAAAAGAACTGAAAAGAAATATTGATATGCTTAGATGGTATAGTATAGAAGTAAAACGCATAGAGATAATGAAGATCTTAAGAATAATTATAGATCATAAGCTTAGATTTAAGTATCATTGTGATTATATGTAAAAAAAAGGAAAGAAAACTGGTTTTTTTAATAGAGTAGATATTTATATAGGTAATTATCAATATATATTAGATGTACTATACGTAAAGTGATCATAGTACCGCATTTTAATTATAGTGCAACGCTGTTAATAAATATGGGAGAGACATAGCTGGATAAATTGCAAAAAGTGCAATATCGAATAATGAAAGTTATATTTCAATGCGATAGGTACTCATATATGCTGCAAGCGTTGCAGTTTATGTCCATAAGACAGAGGCCATAAAAATATACTACAGTATATTCACTTTTAAGATCGTAAGGAAGTTACTAGATAATTAAGAAATAAGTTAGAAATAATAGGCAATAAAAGTGGCAAGGAAGACATATAACATGACGGAGATATTGCAATACAATTTCGCAGAACTCGTAGTGGATAAAAGAGTTCATTCTGCACCAGTCTGCAAGAAGTAATGGATAGTTAAAAAAATTTTGATTAGAAGCCATGAGAGCAGAATATGACAGCTTCTTAAAAAACACCACATAGACCTTGATGATTAAGCTAAAAGATAAAAAAGTTTAATGAATAAATTTGAGAAAAAAGGACAGATCACTGGAAAAATTCGAAAATTGGTTGCTCGTGGATATCAACAAAGAAAAGAAGTCTATTAAGCTAAGCTTTTTACTAAAGTTAGTACATATAAAAACGTTAGAATCTGGCATGTTGTTTCGAAAAGACAACATATGTGCACCAAGCATATGTTCAAGGCTATTTATCTAACAATATATACATAATCGAAGCAAAAAAGTTTGAAGAAATCTCACAAGAAGAAAAAATTTGTAAACTAAATAAACCATTATATAGACTAAAACAGACAGATAGAGAATGGTATTTAGTAGGTTTTTACTAAGTTAATATTTGATAATCATTTTATAATTATACATTTCAAGAAAAATGAATTTAAACCATGTGTAGATTCAGATATGAACAACGATATTACTATAATATAATAACGACGTTGATAATAAACTGATAAGATCAAAGAATTAAACAAAATAAATGAAGTTAAGAGTATGCTAAAAATTAGGTTTAAATTAACCATCACGTCACAAACATTTTTTAAAAAAGTAGAAAAACGAATAATCAATTTTTATTAAAACAATGTCATTTTATTATGCTTGTAGTTTTTCACAGATCTCTATCTTTCCTTGTAAATATGTTTTTTGACAAATTCTGTAAATCTTGGTGTTAGTCAGATCTTGCTTTTTGATGTAGTAAAATTCTTATGAAAATATAGACCAGAATCTTAAAGATAATATTGTCATCCAATAGGAAGCAAACTTTTTATCCTCGGTAAATATCATAAGTAATAAGTTAGAAGCATCTAAAAGGGAGAAAACTAGATTGACTTTTCAGAGAAAATCTGGAAAGTTTTTGTGATTCTGTAATACCTAAAAATTAGAGATCTTGTAAATCCATGATTAATTCTTCGGTCCTAATTTTGTATTTAGCCATTAGGTAAGTTGGTAATTAGGTAATAAGTCCTCATTTCGCAATCTGTAAAATCATTGACCAATAAGAATAATGAGTAATTAGTACATAATAAGTCCATATTTTCCATTTTGTTTGACTGTTCATAAGTCAGTTAATAAATCTGTATATTGAATTTAATAAAGAATCTAATACATTTATAAGATTTTATTCAAAAATCAATGAGTCTACAACCAGCTCTCTATTCTTTTACTGAACATTGTCCAACTAACTCATTGAGATATGAAGCCACTCTTGTACACCACTTATAGAAACTTGTAATATTTATTCTAATACTCTGTCTACAGATCGAATTTAGGTTTTTTAAGATCAATCTCTGATAAAGGCTTCACGACTTGACTAAAAACTAACTATTTTTACATTATTATAATTACGCAATAGGATATAATAAATAAAATGTCAATTATATTTGGTAATTTTATTATTTTTATTTTTTGTTTTGTTAAATCTATAATTAATGGCTGCATAATATTCTTATAAAAGAATATAATTTTATAGTCCAATTTTTATTTTTAATTTTGTATTCTGTGAATATTATTTATATTAAATTGCTATTTTTATTAAATTGCTTTACTATTACTCACTTATTATTAATAAATTATTTCCAAAACTAGTTTAATATATTTTATAATATTTAATAACTTATTCAATTATAGAAAACCATTTCTACATAAGTACAGCTTATAATTTTATTTATATTCTATGTTCTATTCTGCTCTTAGCTGTGTCCACAACATTTGTATAATTCAACTTCATATTATAATTATATTCATATTTATAATTCCTACATATAACATTTTGCGCCAAATTGATTAAGTAAATTCTTGTCTCGCTTCACTGACAATCCTTTCAATTATGGGGATTGACAATATAGCACTACATATATGACTAAAACACATATGAAAATAAAGTAATTGCCTGTGTAAAACATCCTGTGCACAATGGACAAAGTAAATCTTTCTATTACTTTTCTTTTACTACCACTTCCATTTATGGGAACTGGTAATATAGTACTATTACATATACATATATATGAAACGCACTAATAAAACATACTCCGACATCTTTATAAATATTTAAAAATTCATAAAGGTTTACAATATGTATAATGAATCTGCATTAATTTTTTAAGAGGTAAAAACAATGTCAATTTTAAATTCTCGAAATACGACAAATGTGCATGTACACATATAATGACCGCAAAGAAATTATAGCAACATGTTTATCAATCCCAGATTTTTTTATATTTATAAATATTACAAATAAGATGATCTGTTATCTGAACAATTTTACAATCAGAATGTTTCTCACCAAAAAAACTCTCCAAGTTGCCAATTAGGTATTGATAATTGTTCATTTATATTTTTTACTTCTTTATTTTCAAATTATTTTTTTAATTTACTTAAAATTATTACTTTGCCGCAAATTTGTCGCTTCACTATCTTCTACTTAGTAATCGTCCGAAGATTTCGTATGATTTCCGACTTCTATCGATTCGTAATATTTTATTTCAATTATAAATTCTATATTAATAGACGTTTTTAAATAAAAATGAATAGATACAGATAAATACTACTTCTTCAAAATATTTATAAGAAAGATTGAAAATTATTACGCAGATAAATTTATTTATTATTCGATTTATTTTTCGTTCTTATATATTCATTTGTTGTAACAAATGTACGCGATGAGGATGATTGCTTTAGGAACGTATTCACAACTTTTAGATAAATTGACATATAATCACTTTCATAACTGAAAACGTATACGGATAAAAAGCTATATAATTTTGATATTTTTTAAAACTATTACAAAATTTACAGGATGTACTATTCCTTTCGCGGACTAAATAAAGAAGTCAAATAGATATGATGGAAAGGCAAATGATTTGTAAACTATTAATGCGGCCTTGGTCTATTGTACGAAATGTTCACAAGATGGTGCTATATATGTGGGACTTGCTACGCCTCTTCCGACAAGATACATAACTAACATGTCTCGGTGCCACCAAACGTACACGCGGGAAACAATAAACAAAGGTGACGAAAAAGACTCCGGAAACACAAAGAAAATCATTGTTCTTTCTTCGATTCTTCTAGAGAGCACAATCATAACTGCTAGAGGTCATAGTCTAATTATACCTACTACACACCGAACAAAGCTAAATAAACATCATAATTGTTACTTGATCTGCAAAGTTTCTCTTTATATAATGGATTGTCAACGATAAACCCACAGACTTCATCTACTGCTGCTATTATCAAGACCACTTAATATTTGCACGTGCTGGCGCAGATTGCGAGAAAGTTCGTCGTTCTATTGATTACAAGTAATCAACTTTATTTCTTTTAAATTACAGATTCTTTCAATATACTAATCGATAGCTAAACATGTGATTTCTATGGTGTAGCATTTGCAAGTCGAAAAAGGTGTGCATTTGAGATATATTCGTGAAAATAAAATTGTAATCTAGATATGTCCATCGTGGAGCTTATTGCGTTGTACTTGTTTTAGGATTTTCAGATCTTATTTTCGTAATGTGTATTCTTTGTTAGGGTTTTAATAATGATTTGTGTAATTATTTTTATGTCATTTAATCATAATTGATTGTATTATGTATTATATATTATATTCGACTTTCCTCTAAATCGTATATATACGGGTGTACATAAATCAGGATTGTTATTGCCAAGCGCGTGGTACAGACATTAGTTACGATTGAAAAAAGACTTGAAAGACAAAAAGAGGACATTCTGTAAGATTTTGTGTTGTCGAACGGATCGTTAGTAGCATTATTATATATATACTCTTCAAATTATTTTGTGTGATCAATTGTTTCAATCATTCCCTCTAATCCTTGATTTTACATATTCGTGTATATATATATATATATATATATATATATATATATATATATGTATATATATATATATAATTATGGAATGGGAAGGTTACAGAACTAGTTAGTCATGTGTGTGTGAGAGATGTATCGATCGACAGTTGAACGAAGCGGTAGAAGATTCTGGAACTAATTAGTCGTGGTAAGTATGTATATGTGAGATAAACCGTTTGGTAGTTAAGGAGAGCGTGATTTATCTTTTAACGGGTAATGCCTTGAGTAGGCTAGATTATAAGAAAAGAATTATAGTTTCCAAGTTGTTACATTCTAGTTATAGTATTTTTGTCAATAAAGTTCGTATTAACGAAGACTTATTCGAATTAGTCAATTCGTATCTTCCAGGTAGGGTTTCAAAAAATATCATATATATATATGTATTTGATTTATATTAGTAAAACACTTTCATTTTATAATACATGATATTCTACGAATCGACGAAACTCTATACACGGTACAGTGGAAACTTAGGTTTATTTTTCAATGCTCTTCGTATGTAGCCGAAGTTAAGTTAAATGTGTGGTTTTAAAATTTTCAAGTAAATTCTAATAAAAGAACATACATTAAGGACGAACTTTCTATTGTTCTATTTTGTTTGGTATTTTTTAGGAAAGTTGTTTTGTTTTCACATGATAATCAGGGAAGGTGACTTCTCTTTCACTATTCAGTAATATGATCAAGGTACAATACAAATACAATACAAATAGAGGTACATAAGTAATATTATTTTCTTGATGATTATTCATCGAAAATTTTATTTTATTTTATTTTAGAATAAATATCATTATTAAATAAATCGCAATTATTAATTCCTTTTTATTTCATGTTGTTTTTGTTTATTTCATTTCGTTTTTATTAATAAAAATTCAAGTAACTTCTTTTATTTACTTAGTACATATACTTTCAAGGAGCTTTCTTTATTATAATAATGATACTAGTAATATTGCTTTCGTTTCATATCGGATCTTATTGTGCAGTTGTTCGTGCAGCTATGGATGAGTCGATTCTTGTTTCAATAAAGTAAAAGGAGAATTGTGAAGTTGACTGTGTTTTTACATTTATTTAAATTTGTTTACAGTTTGCGATTTCAATTAATTTTGAGAAACACGTGTACCTGAATAGGTTGCGCGCAAAACTATCTTAGAGTCAATGTTTGTTCGTATAAAGTTTTATTTAACTTCTTTTTTATAGTCACATAAACTTTACAGGTAACCCCCTTATAACGATATAACACGGTATTGATATTGTTAGATTTTTATCTTTTCACTTATTTTATTTTGTTGAAAACGTTTATGCGTTATGTGCATGAAATAAAAATTTCTTTTGTATGTTAACTTATTTGGATTACATAGATGAGATCGAAATTATTCCTAATAGTCAAGTCAGTAGCTTTTTATATGATATGAAAAAAATTTAATTTGAGCAATATAAGAAAAATTTTCGGAAATTAACTTCGTTTGTTCTCTTAGATCTGAGTCTCGCGTAACGGAATTTATATAACGTGTCATTTTTATGAAATGGAATATTTGTGTTATACTGTTATTTCGGTTTTCTGTATTTACATATAAAACAAACAATAGATATTAGCGAATTCAATTTATTGTCCGCCTCTTATTTAATGAATAATTATTGAAAGAATTAGTGCATCACGGAAAATGATCAAGACACTAACATACTTCTTTTGTAGAATAATATTAGTAAGTAAATATTGAAATTTTATAGCCAATGTAATTTTGTAATTCTTTTTATTATAATAAATTTAATACTGGTGGAGATAATTAACTTTTCACTGGATTGCAAAATAACACTGATAATAAATCTATTCTTTTAACGAATATATTGATATATCAAAAAACGAAAATCGTAAAGATACGGATTAATACCCCAGTCGGAGATATCGCGTTATTGTTTAATCCTTATAATACCTTATAAATTTTCCGTATACCGTTCAAAAATATTTAGAAATCTATAGGATTTGAATCGTATGTATTATCTGTTAAAATTAACATATTTCTTTCAAAAATGAAGATATTTTCACGTATTTTTTATTTTATTGTAAAATGTTTGTAGTTTTACGTGAAAAAGAGAGAAAATTATTTCTGTAATCAAAATATAATGTCATTACATATGTTTAAATTATTAAAAAACTTGGAAAGTCGATATATCGGCTTTAAGATATTAAAACGAGTAATTGTGTTTTTGCTCAAGCTGCTAGTTAGTATTAGATTAATTTATTGTAAGTGTATATATGGAAGTATACGATATCTGCTCGTAACCTGTCTATTTAGATCATCCCCATTTAATGAAGAAATACCTACTTTATATAACAAATAAAAATTTTGTTTGTAATCTTTTTTCAGATAATCATTGCTTCTCAAGTCAATTTCGATCTACATCGCAAATGAGTATTTTGGAACCACAATAGAACTTCTTAAGTAGTAAGTGAAGAAATTCAAGTCACTTTAGTATTCCTTATTGTAGTTGGGTCTAGGCCAAAGTATTTTGAAAACTACAAATGCTTTTTATCTATTATCTCTCGTTATATACAAACTTACTCTCGTTCATTTGCTTGACGTTCGATATATATAATTATATAATTATTATTTAACGTCTTATGTTTTTTGACTATCTTTTAGTAATTGAAGGTGAAATGCACGCATTGTCACTTTTTCATCTTGTACAAACAAAATGCATTCCAAACAGCCACATCAAATAAAAGGAAGAAATTTTTTGTATCAATTTTACCTGATTTTCCGAGAGACTTTTCAGTTATTTTTGTTGTCTCCGAATTCCTGCCTGCATATACAATAAATTTGAAACGTATCCAGTTTTACAGTCGCAGAATATAAAAGATTTGATATCAAATCTATTCCGTTTGGTTGGAATATACTGTTTGAACGGTAACCTGCCTTTGTATAATAATGAACTTTTATTGATGCCTATGTTGCAAAATGGATTAAAATTATTTTGAAATGAAAGGCAAGAATTATTATAGAATTTACTTATTTTTACTAGCCTATCACTAATCTCACTGGAATAAAGCATTCGCATGAGAAATATTTATCTATGTCTATTTATTATACGTCCGAAGATGTCAATACGCAAAAATTTATCTTTTGTCCAACATTCGGAGTAATGCAATTTTTTAACACACGAAATTAATGACCTAATTGCAAAAACCATTAAATCTCACTCAGAGTTGCTGCTTGTTCATAAGGTTTTAGAAATGAACACAGAATTTTTATTTTGTGTTCGATTTTTCGTTTCAACTGATTTGTTTCTTCAACAATTAATAATATCAATTCTTCGGAAAAGAATAGTTCAAAGTAGTCTAATGGAGTAGCAAATTGATTAATACGTGTTTACATTCCAGAGTTATTTGAATTAAATTTATGTACTTATTTTTGTTTCTTGATCACTATTGTTATCATTATTGTTACTTAATGTGCGACGTTCTTTCTACATAGTAGGTTATCAACGTTAATTTGACCACAATTGGTGACTCCGACGTAATCTTTGTGCATCAAGAGTTCCTACAAAAGGAAAAACGTATCGGCGTCAGCCATCCTATCTTGTAATAAAATTCGAGCTTCATGTTCAGAACACTTGAAAAAGAATCACAAACATTGAACACCATGTTAAGAGTCAACAGTACACATACAGACTAAAATACCTGACTGTCCTTAAGGCCCTTGATCAAGACACGATCGTGCTGATTTTTGACGTGATACAACAGGATTCAGCGCGAACCTGAATCCAATCTCCACGAATCAACAACAACGGCAAGTGAAACACAGAAGATACAAACAACAAAGGAACTCATCCTGAACAAAGGAATCAAAATAACAACGGACAAATGACGCCACGGAATATTGCGACAGCTTCACCCATCGCGTCAATAACAGGAACAATAGAAGGAAATACTTCTGGTATGTAGAACCTGTACAATTATAATCAATCACCAGGCTATAACAATATATTGCGTGACAAATATTATTTGATGAATAAACTTAAATTGGCGGCATTCACCAAAAATCGACCGGATCTTTGATTCATCATGGCTAAGACTGAATCCACTATTTTTGGAATTGTTGAAGATAAAGTAAAATACCTGACGGCCCTGATTTCAGACGTGATATAACAGGAGCCCGCTACAGGTAAAGATAAAACTCTCAGAAACGCGATAATCTCACGACTCTTTGATTTCAGACAAAAACAAAGAAACTTTTACGTGAGTCAACGCTTCCAAATAGAACACCTTCTCAGCTCCTGCGACAAATGCGCGAATTGGCTGATGGTTTCGCTGATGATACCATATTGCACCAATTTTGGCTTGAACGAATACATATTATAATACAACATATATTAAACCCTATCTGATTACCACAAGTAAACTTCGACTTGATGCTATAGCTAAGTTTGCGGACCGTTTTTACGAGCTGATGCCTTACGATCAACAGAATAACCGGGTTATGTGTGGCAACCTTTACACGCAATCTTGCATCATCGACTCTTTAAGACATTGACTCAAAGCTCATAGAAATTCAAAAAAAAACCAACAACTGCAGGCTCGACAATCTCCGATGCATCATAATCGCAACAGTCCAAGATTATCGACACCTATTCGCAATAAAATCTCCTATTATCACCAAAGGTTTGGCAGCGAAGCAAAACGCTGTCTTTTACCTTGTAAATTCGCTTCAATGAGAAACTGACAACAACAAATTAAGGAAACTAACGTCGCTGTCTTCAGTAAGAGCAGTGCAAGACAACAATTCCAGACCAAAAGAGCTCCGACTACACTACCAAACAGAAATTCTTGATTGACTCTGGGTCCGTCGTGTCCATAATATCTGCAAAAAAGTTTTGTAAAAATAGAAATACTGACTCATACTTTATGTTGCAAATTCATCACAAATATACGGCACTAAAATCATCAACCTTGATTTAAATCTCCGCAGAGATTTCTGCTGGTCTTTTATCATCGCAGACGTGGAAATAGCAATCATCGGAACTGATTTCTTAATTCATTAAAACTTGTTGATTGATTTGAAATATCAACAATTGATAGATCCAGTGTCTCATCTCTCGTCAAAAGGAAATGCAATGGAAGCACAGTATTACGACATCTCATCAATAAGTTCAGATTTTTCTACTGAGTATGCTGAACTTTTAAAACAATTCGTTGAGATCACTTGGTCGATTAGCAAGCCATGCTTAAATTTAACAGCACGTCCATTTGCGCACAAAGTTATTACGCATGTCCACTAGTCACTGCACGAGCACGTAAACTAGCAGGTGAAAAGGCAGCGGCAACAAAAACTCAAATCAGAGAACTTCTGAACTCCGGAATCATTAGATCATCCAGCAGAACGTACGCCAATCCTATTCATATGATACGAGAGAAAGACAACAGCAGGAGAACGTGCGGTGATTACCGTAAACTCAATGATGCTATTGATCCTGACATATAGTTCTCCGCTCATTCTTTCCGTGTATACACGATAGAGAACATTACAGCAAAATTGATTGCGAAAAAGCATATCTATAAGTATCTATGCACGTGGACAATATTGAAAAACTGCCATCATAACACCTTGGGTTCAATACTTAGGTATGCCTTTTGTCTAAAAAACTACACCCAGTCGTATCAACGATTTATGGACACACTTTTCAGAGACTTCGTCTTCGTCTACATGGATGGCATTCTGGTATTCTCGGACGATGAAGACTAATATCTAGAACACATACACATTGAACGCTTAGAAGACAACAACTTTATTATCAATCTCAAAAACTGCCTGTTCAACCAAACGGAAATAAACTTCCTGGGTTACACCATTAATGAACATGGTTACATTCCAACGTGCGTACGAGTTGATGCCATTAAAGGATATCAGAAACCTAAAACTATCGCTGAACTTCGCAGATTTCTTGGCATGATCAACTATCATTGCTGTATACTTCAGGCAGTTCAGATCATATTGTTTGTCAACAGTTACCTTAAAGTGTCAATAAAAAATGATATCACCAAGATCGCATGGACTCCTGAAGTCAATGAGGCATTTGAAATATGCAAAAATACTCGCAACAATTATTTTGCTCTCTTTTCCGTTTTCTAACGAACCAATGACTCTCACAACCGACGCATTTGCAACTGCTATCGGAGCTTAAACTATAACAGCTGGAAGATGATACCTAAAAACACATAGAGTTTTTTTCTGGATAACTGAACCGGACATAACAGAAATATAGCACATACGATTGTGAACTTCTTGCTATTTTTGCATCAGTCAAATTTTTGCATCACTTGATTGATTTCCGTCAATTTGTCATAAAAACGGACAATAAACCACCTACTTTTGTCTTCAGATATAAACTGGACCAAATATCGGAACGTCAACTACTATAGCTCAAATACATCTCACAATTTTTCACTGACTTAGTTATGTGAAGGGTGATGATAACACAGTCACAGATACATTATCCTGCATTAATACTATAAACATGCCATCTATTTTCACATCTCTTGAAATCCAACAAGCACAACTGAACGACAATGATCTAGCTGATCTGATCAGAGACACAACTTCATTGAATCTACGAAAACTCATACTAGAACCAGGAATGAACATGTATTGTGACATTTTGTCAGGATTCATCAGACCATTCTTACCAGAATCATTACGCAAGACAGTTTTCAATGTCATTTATAATCTTTCATATCATAGCGGCTGGACCACATCTCTAAATTTATGTGAAAAATACGTTTTGGCCTGATCCTTAAGAAAGCACTCAAATCGTCCAGAGAATATCTTGCTTGCCAAAGAGCAAAAATTCACCGTCACAATAAGATCAAACCAATCCACGTACACATACTTGATAACCGCTTTAACCATAATCGCTTGGACATCATCTTTCTACTGAAGGTCAAACACTACCGACACTACTTAACCCTTTCGCGACGGCGCACCTGTACCATACTTTGTTGTCTTCCGCGAAAGCGCAGTAACACTTTCTGAGTAACACTTTGTAGCGATCTCTACTCATTATTCTGCAAAAGATGTCACTTTGCAATAATTTATTTTTACTCCAATATTCATCAATTGATAATTTCTTCTCTCTAGACATTAGTAAGCAAACAGCGATAAAACAGTACAGTTCGTCTGCCTTTGTCCCAGGTTCACGATTACTATTATCTCTTCGTCTCCAATGATTAGTTGTTTTTTTCAACAATGAAATCTATCAGATACGAATGATTTAAAAAATCGCAAATTTTTCCAAGAATCAGATATGTCTGTTTGAATTCTCGATTGTGTTGTCTTGTAAAATCATGAAGCCCACAATTTTGAGAGGTCCATCTGATATCATTCGGATTGATACTTTGTTAATCACATCTTCAGTTTCATCAGATTTCGATGTACTAAGTAATTTTAATCACCGTATTTTACGAAATGATGTATTTATATAAGATTCGTTTTCATCATAACTATCCGAATCAGTCTCGTTCACCTGTTTCCGTTGTTTCCTAATGTTATATTCCGTTTTAAAAAGGGTAAAATATTTATTAACATTAAGAACAAAAAAGTGGAATTGGAGATTTTACCGATGTAAGTAGTGATTCGGCCCACTCTATTTTTTGTAGCTTATTATAAGTTATTTGAATCTGATACATCATAAACTTACAAAAATAAATGCACTCTTTTTGTATCTTCATAATTTTTCGAATTTTTAGCAAAATAATTTTGTGTTGCCTTTATTCGCATAGAATACTCTTACTGAGAAAAATTCTTTATTTCTCTGACAATAAAGTCTGTGCCGTATATTGTTGGCGACAGTCTCTGTAAATCAATAAACTGACTGCCATATCTAGACGGCGTCAGCCGCTGTAAATTAATAAATGCCTGCTGTGTATAAGCAGCGTCAGACTCCGTGGGCCAAAAAATGATTGTCGTATTCAAACGGCGTCAGCCTCTATGGACGAAAAAATGGCTGTCGTATTTAGACGGCATTTGCCGCTAAATCATCGACTCGTATCAATGACTTCAACAAGGGCTGAGTCTTGTTTTTATGAACTATTCCTAAATCTTCTGGTTTTAACGATGGCGCTTTGCTTTTCTATTTTGTGCATTGCTGCAACTCAATGTCAATAGTCGAATGATCACCATTTCCAAAAATGCTGCTGACTTGTTCAATTCGCTGTCATCGTGACAACCGGTTTTCTTTGGTATCTAGCAATGTAAGCTTCGAAAGAGCGGCGAAATTGTGTCTAATTGGAAAATGTGAGAGACTGAATTAGGTATAATTGTTTGGATTGTTAAATAATGAGATGAGGGGTCGGGAATTAACCCTTTTGCTACGGCAGTGTGCTCCGTCGGTATGACACTGCTGAACGGTCCACCGTGCCGCCGGAATAGCGCCACTGAACGGAGCACTGTGTCGGAAAGTGTGCATGTTGCGCTTAGGTAAACTGGTGTTCGGTCTTACATCTTTCGGTGCAGCCTTGTTATTCTCCGGATCGTACTCTTTAAGTGTTATACAACGACATATTTGGAGATTTTGTAATTTTTATAAATATAAATATAATTTAGAGTAATTGATATGTCAAATTAAGATTCTCAATAATTTAATTCACAATAATAAATTTTAAAGCAAAGGTCGATACACAATCCGACATTACAGTTTTTAGATTCATACGTAGTTTCGCGTCTTTTGTCGTTTGCACTGCAAACGACGTACCTTCTATTTCGGTTTTTTCTTGGTGGTTTATACAGTGAAGGAAAATGCCGTTCTATTAGCCGTAATGGATTGTTATTGCCTCTTTGATGATAATAAGTATTGTTCATATGATATTTTTACAATATTTGTCGGATTAATTCCAAGTGAAATTTGGCTATTAATATCGGTTTTAGCGTGTTATGTTTATATAGACAGTATCCATTCCACACGCTTATGTCCAGCAAATGGAAAAGATATTTACGGTACCATTTCAGAGATTTTTCCTGCCGATTTATAAACCGACGGACAATGTCGTTCTGTTAATCTCAGTGGATGATTATTGCTCGCTCGATGTTGATGACTTATACTTTGATGATACTTTCCCAGTATATCCCTAATTAATTGCAACTGAAATTTTGCCATAGATAAATTTTGCCAGAGAATGAGACAAGTGTCATCGATGTGCGGTATGCCTAAAAACAAGCATATCGCGGGGCTGATGGTCAACCGGTTTCACGCTGACGCCGTCTATAGCAGACGCTCGTACACACAGATCATCGCGCGGATACAGTCTATAGCCGACGCTGGTATACACAATTCGTCGCGCGGAAGCCGTCTATAGCCGACGCTCGTACCGAAAGGGTTAACCACAGTTGATAGGACCAGAGGTAATCTTGTTAATCTAATCATGCGCGTCACTAATTAGATAACGAGGCATTTGGCTATTCTTTTCTTTTTAAAGTAGGAGGGGAAAAATGCATTACACATAACAGCTATGTTGTTGCTGCTCGTCTGGGACTCATCACTGTGACAAACTCAGAAAAAAACCCACTCCTGTTCATCATTATGCCTAATTTGTAAGCAGCACGATGATGTTGTTGTCCATTGTCCAACTCTGGTGCGTTCTTCTAGTTTTCTTGGTGTGGCAGATGTTGTCGCATGATAGAACTTCCAGAACCCAGAGAGACCTTCAATCAGGATTTGTTGAGATCACCATGAATTTGGTGGGTTTGAGAATGCTGTTGTTTGTGAGGTATTGGGCAGAAGTTTTGCTCCAAATAGCTCTGTATAATAGAGTTATTTACATTTTTTACGTCGTATCTTTCCTTGATATGCTCCGTCAGCTTTTTATATTTCTGTTTTGGTTTGATGCGCGATATCGAGGTTCCTTTCCTACGATATTCTGTGTTTTGTGAAGTGCCCGTTTCACGTAGGAGACGACCGCATTGTGTCGATCTATACCTGATTTGTTTGTTCGGTAACACTTCTGCAGAACGTTATGTATCGGCTCTATCGCCCCGCATCCTGCCCGATATGTGTGGCCACTTATTCTGTCTCTTGTTGTTCTATATCTAGTAGACAGTGCATTGATCCTTATTTTAATTGAGTTGACAAAGTCACGCTCAGATAGGAATTTAGTGCTGTCAATTATCCACTGGTGTTGTGGTGGGACTTTTCTTGATATCCTTCAACCGCTACCTTCCAATGACTTATTGAGAGCTTTCGCCCATCTTATCTCCAATTTTTCGCGAGATTCGATAACGAGTTGTCCGTCACGTAATTTCCTTTCAGCATATCCAATTTCCTGCTTAACGTAGGAATCGTTTACATCATCGTCCTTCCGCTCTATAGGCAATGCCACCGATGTAGTAGCATAAGCCACCTCATGGATGGAATTGACAACTCCCCATCCTTAACATTAGCATGAAAATAGGCTGTTATCGTGTCATGCGGTAGCTCTAGCCATTTCCTTGTATAAGCTCTTACTATGCTGTCGGTCTTTTTTAACTATTTGACTGCTGACGTATTTTTTCGGATATATGGTTTCGGCCAAAAGTGCGGCACCAATTGCGTGTATAAAAATTAAAAAATACCATTTATTTACATAAATTTGTTTTAATTCATTTTGTGAATAAAATTAGTAATAAGCACTTATAATTCAATCAAATTAACAAAAATAATTTTTTATGATCTTTTACACGGGTAGTTTGCTATACAAAGCGCGTGAATTCCCTTTTTACAAATATAGCAAATTAGGTTTGAACGTTTAACTCCTTTACCATATTTACAGCTGCATTTCACGCATCGCCGCAAATTTCGTACAAGTAGCTTTACAAGGCTAAATATTTCGCTTGGTGTAGACGATATAGGTTGTTTATATGCGTTGTTTTTGTTTGCGAGCTATTCCTTTTCAATTTCATCAATAATACTTGAAACAAATTGTAACCTGATTAACTTTTTAATTTTAATAATTTTCCGAATATATTATGTAGGCGTTTAAGACTATTCTGCCAATAATGTTGAATACAACTTTTTTCCAATACTTCATTGTTCTTCTTTCATCTAGGTATCATAAAAAAGCATTTTATCTGATTCGTCCACACCACCCATGAACTTGCTGTAATTATGAACAAAAGCAGGTTTCGTCTTTTCTGACTCTTTTCCTCTTTTCTTTTTAACGATTACGCTATCTGTGATGCAGTTTGTTAAAACTAATATCACGGGATTTCTTTGAGATTTTTTCTCTCGATAAGAACACATAAGAATTTCGTTGTTTTCAAAATATTTAGATTTACCAACATCTGCAAATTTAGCCTGATTTAAAACGTTTTTTCTATTTTTTCTAATAGTACTAGTTATATATGTATTTTTTTGCAATAATACTTTTGCTAGTTGGGTGCTTGTAAAAAAGTTATTAGTGAAAACATGAAATCCTTTATTCAAATAATTCCCTAAATTTAATAATTGTTGGACAACAACATATCCCAATCTATTCTTTTTTATTTCTCCCTTACTTTCGGTTGACTTTGCGCCTCGATTACAAAAAAGTCCTAAGTAATACTTTGAAACAGTATCAGAAAGCATCCAAAATTTGATCCCCCATTTGTGGTGTTTTTTATTAGGAAGGTACTGTTTATACTTGATTGACAATGTGATTCATCTATACTCACCTGTTGGTGCTGTGTATACTGTTCACGAAAAATCTTATTGGCATAATTCACAAGAAAGTTAAACTTTCCACATGGGTCCGTAGTCTGGATGTCCTGGTGGTATCAAAGTGGTATTGTCAACCAGATGGAAAAACTTTATGATTAATAAAAACCTATTGCTAGGAAACATTTCTCCAAACCACGGTATTTGCCTTGAGCCTATATTCCAATAAGACATCATTGTTGGACGTCAAGTAATACCCATTTCTAAAAAAAAACAGCAGTAAATGCTTTCATTTCCACTTTGATAACAGGTTCCCACCTTTTTGCACGTGAGTTACGCTTCAAAGTTTTGTTGGAACTCAAAAACTGATGAGCGTACCGGTTTGTTTCAGTAACCATTGTAGAGAGTAGGGAAATCGAGAAGAATATGGAAAAATATTCAATTGGTTTTGCATCAGGATCAGGCGGATGTTGTGGACCAGGAACCTTCGTAAAATAATCCTTTTCATTCGAATACCGTGAATTCAAATTCAAAAATTAATCAACAGAGGCATGTTTGGTCTCCATTTAGTGTATCATTGCTGTTCTCGCTAATTGGCCGTAATTTCTTTTTAAGAATAATAATATCATTTCCGCTATCACTTTCGTTGTCACAAATTTGCATTTCATCATCAGTCCACGATTCGGAGTCAGTTTCGCTCCTAATATTAGGTATTGTTCTCACCGTTATTTAACAGAAAAAAGAAAATAGATTTAAAATATGTAATATTATTACAACAATTAAAAATCATATGTTCCGCAAACTCAACGCGCTTCACTGGATGCACAAATTTTAGTGATTTAGAGCAGCGTTAGTATGTTCTCTGCAGCCTTGGCATAAAAAAAACAGGAGCGCTAGCGCTCCTTTTTTTGGCAGAACATAAGAAGAGCGCGATAGCGTTCCCCAGTAGTCAGACAGTTAAACGGTTCAGAGATGTACTAACGAGGGTTAAAAGGATATAATCCGGGAAGCATCATCACTCTCAGAGCGAAGAGTCTTTGTTTCGGCTTCAGTGGCGCTTTGGTTAACATTTGAAGTGCACATTGAAGGAGCTTGATCTCCTGCCCCTTCGATCTTAAGACGTGAACGGGACGCCCAGATATTTCCGTTCTTCTTTGCATGTTACGGCTGACAATTGGCATCCTGCGCAGTTGAACGCAGCTCTGCCGTCAACCACTGGCTTCTTCAAGTTTGGCACCTTTCCGAATTGCCACAGTGAACAACTTACCTGTATTTATAACCAAACCACGTTTGGCCAGGTAATCGTTCACAATATCTAGAGTGCTCTGTAGTCCTTTTGGTGTAGAATAAAGACGAGATCGTCCGCAAATGCAAGAGCGCTGTAACGAACTTCGTCCATGTCTGCCCCGACTTCAGGGGGAATTTTACACAGGAGCCCGTCGTCCATCGTTATATTAAGAATAAAGTCCGATAAGAAATGAATGTCCCGGATTTTTTTTAATTCAATTTAATTTCAGCCCGTTTGGTTGGTATAAAGTGAATATCACGGGCATAGTCGATAGTACGATGATCGGGCCAAATATAAATATTAGTGGCGGCGCCCTCTTGAAAATATAAATATTTGTGAAATATTTGATAAGTAATTAGAACCCGATGTGGTAGATGCAAGTGCTAAAAAAAGTTTATTTATACATAAATCAGTAATACAAAATTAATAATCTGCAATGGTGTGATACAATTCGAAACATTCTGGTAGATGTAAGGGAACTTTGCACTTCTTACACTCCCACGTTGTTTCTCTACGTTTAATTTTTTTGGCGAACTCTACAAGGTTTTGACGGTCTTAATTTTGATGCTGTTGGGTCAATGTGTTTTGGAAAATGTGTCAAATGCTTCTCATGCAGTCTTTCTGGCATATCTCCGGAAAATAATTGTTCTCGTTCTCTATAATTCGGTTTTGGCATATTCTTCAATAGTGATTCGGCTATATTGATCCTATAGTCAACGTAAAATTGTTTCTTCCCGTTATTTATTTTATTGCATAAAATCTATGAATTAAAAAGACCAATATCGAACAGATAAAAAAAATTTTGTTATATCCTTTCATGTATTTCCTCATTACTGGAAAGCATGCTAATATTTGGTCTTGGAGACCAATTCCATTCATTCCCTTGTACTCTGTAATACAATTTGGTTTTGGAGTACGATTGAATCCTTGTGTAGTCATTTCGACTGTTTCATGTTTTTTCGTCATAATATAAACATCTCATTTGTCTTTCCATTTTATAGTAAGTATTCGGTTGCAATTTCTTATTGCGTATTTCCCCCTTTTTAATTTTACATTACACAAGTCTTTTGGCATATGCTTCCTATTTCCACGTACTGTGCCAATTACATTTGTTTTATAATTAAACGATACTAGTTATCTATATATAAGGTGTGACCCCTGTGCAACACTGACTCAGAAAGTTCTTCGACAACACTTTTCGAAGCGCTATCATCACGGTTTATTTTATCGTGGGCCGTATATATTTTAAATTCATAGCAATAGCCTGAATCGGACTCACACAATTTATAAAATTTAACGCCAAACCTTGATCTTTTTGATGGGTTAAATTGCCTATAAGATAGGCGCCCCTTGAACTTTATGAGCGATTCATCAATAGCAATATCTTTTTTCATTATATATACTTTTTTAAACTTTTGGTTCAAAAAATTGATCACAGATTTAATCTTGCTCAATTTATCTTTATTGGCAACCAGTGTATTGTTTGCGAAATGCAAACATCTTGTAGTTTGCAGATATCTTTTCAAAGGCATTGATTTTCTAAATATCGGCGTTTCGATAACAACCCTCTTTGACCAATTCATTTGTAGTTTTGGTTTTTTTATCTGTGCCATTATTATGGACAATGCGAAATATATTTTTATTTCGTTAGAATTTACAAGAAACCAAGTGGCGTCGATTTTTCGTGTTCTGCGT